TATATTTTACCTGAACATTTATCTATTTTAGATTATAGTTTTTATAATTTCCTTCGATTGCAACTGTACACTTTTGAAGATGGCAGATAAAACATTTCGATTTAACATGTCATCTATTATAACAACAAGAACTCAACCGACGATACGGCCAGCTATACAGACTACTAAACAGAAAATCCAAACTTTCTATTGAAAACAAATTACTTATCTACAAGACAATACTGAAACCTATATGGACATACGGACTTGAACTGTGGGGTACAGCAAAAGCTTCTAACATCAAACGTATTCAATCCTTTCAATCTAAAGTCCTTCGAACAATAGTTGATGCTCCGTTCTATGTAAATAACAAAATCCTACACAATGACCTTAATATCCCATTTGTCCTAGACCTTATTCCAGAAAAATTCTCCAAATTTCACCAGAACCTTACCTATCATCCAAATCCCCTTGCACAATCTCTATCCAGCACCACCCATCCTTACAATCCTCCTCGAAGGTTGAAGCGGCAGTGGCCCAGAGACCTTTTGTAAATAAGCACCTATTGGAGTTTTGGCAATGGCCAGATCCTCCACTCAAGCCCGAGTGTGTATGACTAGGTTAGTTCTTTTGTTTATATACATTTATTTTATTTTATTGTATTTATTTTTATTTTATTCATTGTATTTATTATTATTAAGTTTCTGTATTATTTTTTTTTTTTTTTTTTATTGTAAATAGAGTGTGAGTGTGCTTTCTCTGAACACTATTATAAATGTCCTTGATGTGACAGAATGTAATATTTCTAAATAAACAAATAAAATATGATTGAAAATTATAACAATTTCATTGAACTCATGCTCTTGACTTTTTATTACAAAAGTTTTACTTTATTTATTTTCTTAGTCAAGCTATAAAAATCACCATCTAGCTGATGACAAGGATAAAAACATGTTAAATACTATTACAAGAAAGTCTATGTTTTCCAAAATAATAAAACCTAGTCACTTTAATAATTATAAAATTAATTATCAAATGAAGTTTACATCGAGAACATATGGCTTATTGTAAAATCACAAATAATAGGGCAGTAAGTCCAGTCCACTACAGCTTTGGAGTCCAGAGGAACAGATGGCCAGGGCCGAGAAGACTGGTGGATTCCGGTATAAGTCACCGTTCAAGTTTGGAGAAGATAAATTAGAAGAGCCTGCAAACATCCCTCAGTAAGTTTTTCTTAGTAAGTTCTAGTAACAATACTACTCATTCAATCATTTTTCTTGCCATTTTGGCAGTGAAGAGTGGAAAATAAAATAAATAATGTTGGTCAATAAATTGAGAAATAAAAATATTCAAACTAAAAACTCCAGTAAACACTTGGACGTTTATTTACACGAAGTGTTTTTAAAATTTTAATAATCTTTAACATATTATGATTTATACCAATTAATAAACTTAAAATTAATTTTTTTTCACACGCATAAAGTTGTGTTTCTCATATTTCTTCTTAACGATCCCGACGATTTTTTTAATTGTACCGGTACATGTCTGTAAATAAAATAATGTATTATCAATAGTAATGTAAGACAAATGCAAGGATTATAATGTTTTTATATATCTCCATGGGGTCAGAGAAAATAAGCAGAAAGTTAATAATAACATTTTTTTTCTTTGATTTTAAGCATAGGTGACGCTTATTTTCAACTGTCTTAGATCGTATTGAAAGTTGTACTTACACTGGCTTGGTCTTACGGAAGCGTTCGTAGCTCTGATGAAAGCTTGAACCTTGGACCGAAACTTTGGCAAAAATAAATTAAAATTTATTTGTTTTTACTTTGTTACTCGTATGACTGAACACCCCAACCAACTTCTCTTCGAAATAATGAATTGTATTGGAAGAAAAGGATCCTCTGACATAGTTCATTATTTACTTCAAATTCCTTAAAACAGCACCACTCTTCTTGGCTGTGCACAAAGTGTTTGTTATGGTACTCTGAAGCTATTTAACTTCGTTGTGATTCCCGGTTTTCTTCATCGCGTTAGCAGCAAGCTCTTAAATTTTAGGTTTATCTTTTTAAGGGTGAATATTTATTCAATTGTGGATATTTTAGGTAGGAGCACTAGAAAGTATACCGACCTAACAAAAGGTAACGACGCGCCCCCGGATCCTTTCTATTAATTTCATCTGTTTCTTTCCTTCATTTATGTCATATTCGAAATAAGGCTCGTTTTAGTCTGAAGTTTATTGTTTTAGCATCATCAATACTGGATAGTGCTCTGATTTCATATCTGACGTTCTAAAAGATCTTACATCGTGAGACTGTGATCAATTTGATTAGCGATAGACCTACCGAGCACACCAGCTTTTCTAGTGTATATTTTTATGTGAATAGACGGATGTAGTGGTGCCCAAAATCGGTCTAGGTCTTGCACTTTGTAAGACCAAGACCAAGATCACCTAACTTTTGCAAGAAAGAGACCAAGACTGGTAAAAGAAAATAGAAATTTATAATAAAAATTAACCCAAAATAGTTACTAATACTTGACAATTTTAATTACTACATGTAAAGAATTGGTATAATATATATAGTTTTGCGTTTAATTCTTCTAATTTTTCATTCAGGCATAGATTTCTCATCTCTAAAAAGTTACAGTAATATCTGTATAGTAATAAGCTAATAAGTAACTGCAAGACTGTTGCGAGACACTTGCGCCAAACCAAGACCAATACCAAGACTGAGTGCGCAAGATCAAGACTCCTCTTGGTCTCGCATTAGGGTATCACTACATACTAGGGATATAGATATAGAAAAATTGACCATCCTTCTTTTATTACGATTAGTTATTCCATCCAGACTGAACAACCTAGCTGTTGATCCATACTAGCTATCAATTCCTTCCCACTTTGAATTTAAGTCATCCAAAACTAATTTTATGTCTGGTCATGAGCATTAATCGTAGATTCTCTCCACACCTCTTCGTAGGTGTGCTTAAGGCCGTAGACATAGCATTATCGCCAACTTAATAAAGTTTACTTCATCTATCCTCTAAGCACTATTATAAATGTCCTTGAGACAGATTGTCATATTTTTCAATAAAAAAAAAAAAAAAAAAAAACTTCATCTATTAACGGTATATTTAACAAAATATTTGAGGCTGTAAAATGTAACTTAGTGTTTTCATGATATTTGCTAGTTTTCATTAGTTAATTACCTTTAAGTAATGTTAGTCAACCAGTGAGACTAATGCGAGTTTCGACAAATCATCAGTGCATTCCACTCTACACATTCAAAATGGTGTATTTCAACTGATGTCTTTCGCCTAATATTAGGCATCAGTGTGCCATTCATCAAAAGATGATGTGCTATCCAAGAGAAATATCTGAAGAATCTGCAACAGTTATGACCTAAATAACTGTAGCTGAAAGTTCAAAGAACATTTAACGAAGAGAGATATATCATGGTTTTAATCTTAAGTGATACGTTAATTAACATAGGTAAAACTATTTGCTTCAAGAAAAAGAGCTATTTCGGGTGAACAAGTAGTTTTTATGGTTCTTAAAAAAATCAGACTGGCCCTGGATTAAAACAAACATTTGTACGGTAAAGTATTCAAAGGTGATATGTGTATAAAGTGAAAACGTTTTTACTGGTAAAATTATGAACTTTAACCGTCAATATTTTCCAATAATTTAATAAAAATCAAATATAACACAATAATATCATAAATACATATTACATTGATACCAATTAAAAACATAGTAGTCGTTTTTGCATATTTCAGGTCGTTAAGTACTTCAGGAAGAACAGAAAGGGCGGGTTATCACACAAGTGAATTAAACATATTTATTGAGAGATATTACAATCTGTCACAATTAAGGACATTTATAATAGTGTTCAAAGAGTACATTCACACTCCATTCACAATAAATTGAAATAAATAATACAGAAAAATAATAATACTAAAAGTAAATGTATATAAACTAAACTAAACAAAAAGAAACTAAGCTAATGAAAATAACTACTCAAGTACATACATGCTTTTATACAATATGTAAAAAAAAGATCTCCGAGCCAAGACTTTCTCTTCACTCGTGGAAGGAAAGGCAGAACTTCTAGGAGATCCCAGCGTCCCTCACTCAGCCGCGCTACTGGCATTAAAGACAAGGAGAGGCTCAGCAGAGGCGCTATAATTACACATACACATACATGGCTTGAGTGGAGAATTTGTCCTTTGCCTAAAGTCCCATACATACTTATTCACAAAAGGTCTCTGGGCCAGTGCCGCTTCATCACACAAGTAACCAACTGCTTCTTCTCAGAGCGAAATGATCGATATTAATTCCATAGCCACCCCAAGAAATAAATTTCAACTCGTCCTGAGATTCGATAAAAAAAGTGAAAGAGAAAAAAAGGTAAAATTTGAAATTTTTATTTCAATAATAAGATAGATTAAACATCCGTTATTAAAAACAAACACATCAATAATAAATTTATTACGATGCATTATGTCATATTACATTTATGAGCAATTGTACGTTTCCAACAATGATTCCTTTTTGAATTGTGTCTTAATAACCAGGCATAGTTTTATAACATAAAAAGAAGGAAATAGCTTATATAACAATTTTATGATAGAAAAGATATGAAGAAATTTGAATAGCAATCAAGTTGAATATGAAGAAATTATTCCTGACACTTGGAACAAGCTATGCATTTAATTGACGAACTAAGCCAGTTATTGACGAAATACATAATTAAGGAAGAAGATGTTTAATAAATTCTTATATAATAAAACGTAGAACTTCATGAAATAGAAGGAAAATTTCTTAATAAAATGAACGCATCATAAAACTTTTAGAGAAGTATACTTTATATAAAATATACAAACAGATCCTTGCTCTGTGACCTAACAAAGGAGTAAGAGACCCTCGACAAAGAATAATCTTGGAATAGTGAAAATGTGACGTTAAGCAAGCTGGAATTTCCTGGAACACCGGCGAGAACAAGAATTACATCCTCCTGATGGTGGCAGAGGTCATCAGCAGTACTGGGGAACCACCTAATGATCTGAAGATTCTGTTGCTAGTGAACAGAATAGAAACTGATTAATTAATAGTTTAATGAGTAGTCAACTAAAACCTAAATTCACTAAGTTATCTACTAATAAGGAAATGACGGATAACAAATTATTTACTATATTATTTACTTACTCGATAAGAAACAACAGCAACACATTGTTTCAGTTATACTGAAATAGTTTTTATCTGAACTTAGTTTTGCGATAAAGATACGTTTTTTCGGTATGTATGTTGCATATATATAACCTTCAAAGGTTTTCAATACTCGTGACCAAAGTAATATAGAAATGGATCTTCTCGCGTTCTCCATAACCTGCTTTGTAAAGATTTTTCAATGTTAAGTAATATTCCACAAGACTATATATGTTTGTGTAACGAATTCTTACATACTAGCTTTGTTTGTTTATTTTTTAACCGATCAAGCGAAGCGAAACGAGAGTTATGTCAGGTCGTCATTTAAAAGCTTTGTAACGCTGTTTTCAGCGAGCGGCTGGATCAATTTTTAAATTTGATGGCTCAAACTATTCGGTGAGTTTCCATGAAGGTTTGAAATAATTTCAGCTTAAATTCTGTGTAAAGTGTGTTTAACCGATCCGATAAAAGGAACATGAACATTTTTTGGGCGGATGGCATAATCGATTTTTAACTTTGACGATCGTTACCTTGGACTCCACTTAGACAAACGTCTAGCTTAGAATCCTCATACTAGACTGAAACGACAAGAAACAGCTCGACATTTCTGACTACTCCAGCACTTACTAGATAAACGCTCTAAGCTCCCAGTCAATTACAAAAGACTCATATACATGACTACAATAAGACCTATTTGGACTTACGGAATTGAGCTCTGGGGCTCCACTAAGCCATCGAATTCCTCTCGTATCCAATCCTTACAATCCAAAATCCTTCGTAAAATCCTCACAGCTCCTTACTTTGTCACAAACAAAATCATCCATAACGACCTTAATGTTCTTTATGTTTCTGACCTGGCCCAATCCAGATACCTTTCCTTCCATAACAAACTTCAGAACCATCCTAACCCTCTCGTTTCTAACCTTGCTTCCTTTTCGATCCCTGACAACCCTCCGAGGCGTCTGAAAAGAAGATGGTCTCGAGATCTCCTTTTGTAAATACATTTTTAGAGTGCTACCAGTGGGTAGTTTCTCAACAAATTATTTCATGCTATTATTTTCTTTTGTTCACATTTACTGAATGTATTTTTACTTGTAATACAGTTGTAAATATCATCAATAAATAAAAAAATTAAAAAAAAACTTTGACGACTGTAATTAATGTTGTCCAAATGCGAGACCGAAACGAGTCTGGGTCTTGCAAACTTATTCTTGGTCATGGTCTTGGATTCTCGCAACAGTCTTGCAGTTACTTATTAGCTTATTACTATAGAGATATTACTGTAATTTTTTAGATATGAAAAACCTAACTAAGCCCGAATGAAAAATTAGAGTTAAATGCAAAAGTAACTTGGTTACATCAATTATTAATATATAGCAACTAAGATTGTCAAGTATTATTAACTATTTTGCCTTAATTTTTATTTTAAAAATCGATTCTTTTTACGAGTCATGGTCTTGGTCTTGCAACAGTTAAGCGGACTCGGTCTTGGTCTTACAAAGTGTAAGACCAAGACTGATTTTGGGCAACACTAACTGTAATAACTCTTTTAGACCCCGTAAAGGTTTTGAAACAATTTGGACGCAAAATAATAGTTTTTTTTCTAAAGTTCAATTATCTCGATTTTTAATTAATTTTAAATGATATTATTTGATCATATGTCATGAAAATTAATTTTTAATATTTTAAAAAATTTTAAAATATATTTTAATCTAAAAAAAATCACGACTGCGGAAATTGGGAAATTTTATCCCTCTTGAAGGAATGTACTCCCATATCTATTGAAACATCTTGATAGGTTGATAGGGAAATTGACGTCTACGAATATCTAAACGTTGTAGTAGTCAATATAGTAAATATGATTATTTATCTCCATTATAATTATCCATTAAATGATTTTTATAATAGCAGAAAACAATATTTATTATAAATAATTGTTATTATTCTAATTACGATACGCTTCTGATCTTAGGTTTCTTATTGTGCAATAAAACGATGTTCATGATGTGCCGATTGAGCTATATTATATCTTTCAGAAAATCAACTCTAAGTCCTTGACTTTCTGCTGTACAATAATATCTTAATTAAAAGTAATTAGGTAAAGAAAATTGTATTAAATTGCAATGCCACCTTGACTAATGTAGAGTAGATTCTTACCTATATATACGAATAGTTCACCCAACGGAGTCAGATCAAACCAAGCAATTATTTGCAATATATTATTATTCTCTTTACAACAAAATCTAATCGTTTTACTATTTTTGCTAAAGGTTTTTGCCATTTCAATCCATCCGTCCTGTGTGCGTATAGTAAAAGAGAATGTCTACGCAAAACAAAAAACCTTAATCACCTAATTTCATTTACTTACTTAATTTTATGGAAGATATAATAATTCGAAGAGTGAATAAAAATGAAACAAGACATCCTTATATCAAAATAAAATTTAATATAATTATTTAGAGGAAAATGCTCAGTATTCGTTCTAACCTCTTCTCGCGGAAAAAAAGCGGCGTATGCAACACACAACTTTCATTTAGCACTCTAGTTAAATAGTTGAATGCCTGCTTCAATAGAGCAAGCTGCATAGCATTGAGCTGGAGGGAAACGATACATATTACACATGTTTTGAGTTACCTCAAGTCAATGCCAAATGGCCTTTCAAATAAGTTTATCTGTGGTAGGCAATGGAAATCTCGTAACTCTATCAATATATTTAAACCACGTAACTCCATTCTTAGAATTCAATACATAAAAAAATGTTAGAAACTGCTGATTTATTTATCTCTCTTTTCGCTCGTCTCAAACAACTCATAAATTAACATACTAGTCTAAAAACTATTTATACTCTTCTATTGAAAAACATTCGTTAGCTGTTTGATTATTTATTAAGTTTTAAAAAGTAATTTTTATATTACACAATAACAAAATTAAAACAAACTAACATATATTTAATTAATTAATTAAAAATATAAATCTGTAGCTAAATTATTTATTATTTATTTTTGAAGAATTTGTATTTTTAACAGACCACAAAATGGAATACCTTTAAGATCCAATTGCAGTAATAAGATCCCCAGAGTGAAGAGGGGGGTTTATGCCGGGGTAGGTTGTTCCGAGTGAGATGGCTCCAAAACAAAAAGTAATAAAGTATAACTTATTAAATATAATTTATATACGTCATCAACAGTTAATTGCAAAGTGAGAAAATAACCTGAATGTACAACATAGAGATTTAAACAATTATATCTGTGGTTTCTTGATTTTGTTAAAATCATCACACAGACTTGACTGAATACTCTAAAGATATTGTTTATTAGTCTTAAAATAAATGAGTATGTATTAATTTTTTTTTCATCATCAATAAAAACATTCGTTAAGGGTACACTTAAGAATCTTTCAGATTTATAAAGAAAAATATGTGTACAAATTATAACCTAGCCTAAATTTTGTTAATAGGTCATTTTTTAAATAATATTTGAGGTTGTTCAAAAATCTGAACTTTTAGCCTCGCTCTTCCATACTAGTGGACTAGGGTAGTAATATATTTATATATATGATATATTTGAACAGGGAGGAAATGTAACCATATTAGGAATAAAGTAATTTAATTAAATTTTAATAATTTTATTTACTACCTCCTTTTTTTTTTTTTAATGTTAGAGAATAAATATCGGCTTAACTTAAAAACGATTTATTAATCAAAATATTAATATTCCAAACAAATAATTAATAACCTAACCGAAGGTAAAATGCTTAAATATTTATCTTCAAAAAAGACCAGTTTTAAAAACCTCCACTAATTGGGTCCATCCTTTTGAGAATTCGTAGTCTACATAAGTACACATTACTAGACTTTTTTAACTCCAATATAAGTAGTTATGTATAAATACATTATATTAAATAGCCTAAATGTATTTAGTACAACGTATATATAGGTTTATACTGTAATACGTACATTCATTGACACGTGAAGGATGGATCTTCCTTAATTGTTGCAAACCAATGGCCAAAATATTTTGAAAGATTCGGATTGCCGAGAGTATGATCACTCTGGTGCGTGCAACACACAACTTTCACTTGCCGCTCTACTTGAATATAAATTATTTTCTGGCAATGTTTTCATATTATAAAATTTTTGAAGTGCTTTTTCAACTGAGTTAAAACATTAAGCTTACAATTAATAAATAATTAATACCATTAAAATAACCGAAATCCTATTTATTATATCAACAATTGATTATGGATTGTAAGATCCGTTGATTATGGATTGTATGACTATTAATTATTTAACTATTGTTCTCTTTAGCAAAGTTTACTATAATGGAATTACGAGATTTGCATTGCCTGTCATAGATACGTCAAAAGTTGTCATACGAATTATAAGTGGACACTGTTGGGATACCACAAAGAGAAAATAAATCAAATTATTCACGAATTTAATTTTCTAAAAGTTTACATAATGATTTTTCGGAATAAACGAACTATAGATACCTAATTATTTAAATATAATATCAGATATACAGTTAATAAACTACAGTACATGTATTAAAGGTCACATATCCAAGAAATAGTTTATCTTTCACACAAATACAATGAAATAGTATTTTAAACAATGTCATTTCCTTGATTCGGTGGAGTTTAAATAATTTTTTTAAGCTTAAAAAAATAAAAGCATTTACATTTAGTAAGTTATCTTTTTAACATGTGATTTACATTAAATACGTTAAGTTAAATATTAGTTTTCCGAAATTATTATTTATAATTTTTTCGTAAATCTCCGTTACCATCTATAACTTTATTTATTAGATAATATTTTTCTAAAATTCTCCTCTTTCTAACTATAAATTATAAGTATACCTATTCCTTCTGACCATTATTCCCGGAGATTCATTTTCGACCTGGGTAAGCATTTTCCTTTTTTTCTCCTTTCTCACATTCTTTAAAAAGTAATGTTTAGCCATTTTTTATAGTTAATGTAAATAAGAGATAGTTATTTTTTTAAAATAAATTAAATTAAAGGTTCTTCATGGGTTGACATATTG